ATTCTGATGGGACATGTAGCTTCTTCAGCGCAGTCAAGAAATCTGGCATCAAAACATTTACTGACTTGGCCAAGACGGCCAAATTTAAGTCTGGCATCAATCACAGCAGCTGTCAATCAAGAAATTGTTTCCCCAGAGCCATATCCTTAGCAAGATGCAGAGATTATGTTTCAATGGCAACTATTTCTCAGTCACCCAATAGGACCTGTGCCTATGTCCCTCTTTCATGCTGATGGAACAATGAGACGAACAGACAAAAACTGAATTAGGGCATTAGCTGGAAGATCAAGATGAAAGGATCCATGAGCTAAGAGCATGTAACAAAGAAACCACAGTGTACATCAGAGATGCCATGGCTATGACAAATGACTGCTGGAAACAAATTTGACATTCAATGAACTGGCTGCTGAGTACTTGAGGCAGGTACTAAAAGGATTTGATAAAGCTAATTCTGTAATTGAAGTCTTTTATAGATATGACAACAATAACGCTCTGAAAATTGCAGAAAGTCAGCACTAGACAGGATCTACGGTTGGGTGCAAGAAATACCAGGTGACTGGTGGATGTCCTGTGCATCGATGGAAAAAGTTTCTAAATGTGGTCCAACAAGCAGTCACTTGTAAAATTCCTCTATAAATATATGGTTCAAAATGCACCTCAGAGTGTAGGAGCACACCCAACACAGACACTCCTTCTTGCTGGAGGCTTTTCCAAAGAGGTGTTGAAGATGTCCAGGAGTACAGTACTCAAAAAGAAGCAGACAAAATGATACTTCTGCATGCTGTATATGCCAGCATGAGTCTCTTGGCATCAAAGGAAACTTAGTAATTAGGTTACCTGATACAGATGTTTTGGTCCCTGCTGTTCAATGCGTTTGAAAAATAGAATACACAAAACATGTGGGTTGAAACAGGCACCTTTACCAGCACGACTGACAAGCGATGCTTCATGCCTGTGCATGCCATTTGTGATGCTCTCCTGGCTTCTGCTGCACATGCATTAACAGTATGTGTGTCTGTCATCCCTATTTGGTATTTTAGGGGGCAGGAGGGGAAAATCTGTGTTTAATGTTGTCAAAACAAAGAGAGCTTACCACTTCAGAGATCTTGACAAACTGGAAGACAGTGACAGAAAAAGTTGCAATTTTTGCAGCAAGGAAGTTGGTAGCAGTGCTGTATGACCAGAGTGAGAAAGAAAAGAAGACCCCCATAGAGACCTAGCTTGTGCCTCAATCAAGTCACTGGCCAAACTCCTTACCACATGAGGACAGTTTTGAAGAGCATGTCAAAAGAGCACCCTAGTAAACAAAGACTTGGATGTCTTTGCACATAGGAAAACCAGATATTGGATTACTATTGCAACATGGATGGAAAAATGTGGGTGATTAATTACTTCCTGTATTCTTCAAGCGCCCAATGGCATCTGAGCTTTTACAAAAATCTTATTTGTGCCTGTAGAACAGTCGTCCCCACATAGTGGGGAGCGCCTCCCTCCCCAGGAGGGAGTCCACTTCTAGGGCAAGGATACTGTCATGAGCATGTTCCTGGAAGCGGAATGGAGGATGTGAAGGAGGTAGTGTCGTGAACTTGATCATATAGCGCTGTCTAATGACATCCAGGACTCACTTGTCTATTATCGCACTCCATGCTGGTAGAAAGAGTCCTAGGTGGCCTCTGAAGGGGGTGACTGGCAAGAGCGGTGATGTGCATAGTGGTTGACGGCTCCCTAGACGCACTCAGAAATAGCGCTTACATGAAGAGTGGGTGTGCTGTACGGAAGACTGAACCGATGGGCCAGGTGGACGGGACCTCTAGGTCTTCAGATGCTTTTAGGGAGGTTCGTAGGGTCGCTGGTGGTAAAACTGAGGAGCTTTGTACTGCTGTGCGGGAGCTGGCCGATAAATCTTTCGCTAGGGTGTTGACATATAAATACCCAGCAATTGCAAGGTGACTCTAGAGGCTTACGCAAGTGTAGGGAATCATCCGTTCCTCCCTGAAAAACCTGTGAAAACAAGGAGAACCCAGTAGCATATCCTGAACATCACTAAGGCCTTACAATCCCAAGGCCCACTGAAATCAACCATTTTCCTCTTATTTTACCTTATCCTCCTTGGGTTTTTCCCCGCCATTCAGAGTGTAAATAGTTTGCATCAAGCTTTTGACCCCTCCCTGATCTTCTAAGGGTAGGCCTCTCTGCTTCATGTGACAGCCAAGAAGCAAAGTGAAAGTAACAAGGTTTACAGTGCAAGACACATTGATTAGTCTCCTTATTGAATATGGCCTTTATTTGCATTTTCACTCAAGTCACTAGGCTTCAAACGAAGAGTTTATCTGCTATAATATTTAAACACCACTTAAGAACAAAGCCAACACAAATGAACAGGAGGAGCTAAAAGTATCAGTTTCATGTTGTAACTGAATAGTATAGCAAATTCACAGATCAGAATGGTGACATTATTTAAAATCAAGGAGCAGCAAAAACATATGTGAACCAGGCCAGAAGGCATGAAGTAGTGTGTACAGAAAGAATTTATATAATTATGAACTATATTATAGTAGTAACAAGAGGCCCCAAGCAGTATGATTGTTCTAAATGAGAAACATTCCTATGTGTATATCATTGTAGCATAAAATATTGTGCCAGAGGGCTACTGTTAATATAATTATTTGGTTTTACACAGTGAAATCACCCCTACCGTCCTGTAACATGATGCCCAAGCAAGTGGTAGCAAGTGTAAGCATAGCCAAATGAGCCTTAATTTTGTGTCAGGAACGAAGGGTCTCAAAACAGCACAGCATGAAAGATTAAAGCACCCAAAAGCATAAGGCAAATACTGACTACAATGTCTGTCAATTAATTTCAGGGGGAAATGTTCAGAAAATACACATACTTAGCAGTGAGTGCATACTAATTCAGATGCCAGCTGGCACATGAATCAATTAACTGAATCAAACTACATCACCATCTGGTGTCAAAGACACACACATCAATTTAACAAAAATTTATATTAACTGTTCCAAAAATTCAGTTTGAGGCTTCCCGGTGCACAATTTGAACTAATCTGACCATATGCAGATCACATGCTGAGGAGACTCCACTGTAGTTTGCAAAGTACTTTGAATTCCTATGGGACAAAAGATTCGCTACATAGGCAAACTTTTGCTTTTTTTTAAGCTTTAACTTAATTTTGAAGTTCGTTAGACACTTGAAACAACTGACTCCCACTTCAAGGCTTTTCCAGTAGACTCTCAGAAGGAAGTGATAAAGAATTACTGGTGTTTGGGAAAACTTATGTCTGGACTCAAGCCAACATAGGCACCATCTTCTTCCTAGAGAGAAACTAGTTGGTGTGTGTTTGCCCCTGCACAGACACGCAAACACAAGTAAAAAAGAATAAGGGAAGTGTCAGTATGCTTAATCAACTGCATATTATGTGTGGGTATGTATGAGTAGCTGTACAATGGTGGCAGGGGGCCCTAAAAGTGACTGATGAGCACATCTTGCTTTTCCATCAGGACATTTCTTATCCATTACAAAAAGCTTTGCCTCTGACTTTTCCCCCATCACCCAAACTACTAATCAAACCAAATCCAATGAAGTGGCCATGGCACTCAACCACACATAGAAGATTAGTTTAGATTATTTTAAATTCCCCATCTTCAATAGAATTACATGCTGAAAGCAAGTACCTTGCTGAACTGAGGCCGTAAACGTTTAACTATCCCCAAAAAGGAATGTTTAAGACGCAGAAGCACTTAAAACAATCATCATTTAAATAGTTCCTTCAAATTATTCAACTAAGGCCAATCTTTATGTTGCAATAATGAATTAACTATCAATAGTGGAACACTACTGAATGCAAAATGGTGAGGTGGAAGATTAACACCCTTATATGTGGAAACTTATAGCAGGCAGATAACAGATGTTTGCAGTCTCATGTGGTCCTGCAAGTATACCAGATTAATGTCACTTAAGAAACACGTCATCTGAGAAAGGTAGAATAAAACACTGATATTTTCTTCCAGCACCTCAGAGGGTTTTTTTTAGCTGAACTTGTATTGTCCTTGCAGGAGCACTGCCACTGGGTAATTCTCCTCCCTGTGTTGGCCCTGTCTGAAAGGCAAGTTGGGGGCTTTAAACTATGAATGTAATTTATACAGGTAATAGATGTGGCAATCAGAATCCATTCACTCCACCTATTATGTTTTTAAAATTACATTACAAGTTTCAAAGCCTCCAACTTAACTAAATATACACAATTGGTCCAATACAGGGATAGAAGCAATCCTACCACACTCTCCCTGAAGGAATGTTTAGCAGCATGTTCTCCCCTGAAGGACCTATAAGAAGGAAATGTGATGTCTTAATTTTTATCTTCTCCTGGATTTTGAAATAAAACATGGGGACAAGACAGAAAAGTCTGAGCTCCTAGGTTAATTAGGACTAGACTAGACAAAGCATTAGAACAGGGGTCGGCAACCTTTCAGAAGTGGTGTGCCGAGTCTTCATTTATTCACTCTAATTTAAGGTTTCGCGTGCCAGTAATACATTTTAATGTTTTTAGAAGGTCTCTTTCTATAAGTCTATAATATATAACTAAACTATTGTTGTATGTAAAGTAAATAAGGTTTTTAAAATGTTTAAGAAGCTTCATTTAAAAATTAAATTAAAATGCAGAGCTCCCCGGACTGGTGGCCAAGACCCGGGCAGCGTGAGTGCCACTGAAAATCAGCTCGCGTGCCGCCTTTGGCATGCATGCCATAGGTTGCCTACCCCTGCATTAGAACATATACTGCAGGAAATAACCCTGAATTGGCAAAGGTGATTACTTAAATAACCTAGCAGATTTTTTCCACCTTTAATTTATGTGATTAAAAAGAATTAATACTCTCAGCTTCCCTGGAGAGGTTGCTGCTGAAAGTCCTCCATTAATGTGCTGTCTACAAAATTCTAGTCACAGTATAAAGGGTTAAAATCTCCAAGGTACAGAATGGCCTTACCTTGTTGGCACGTAGTTGCTTGTAGATATCTGTTTGCTGCCTTATGCGATACTCCAAGTCAGAGATCTGAGCCTGCAACCACGTCCACTGACAGATAATGGCTGCTCTCTCCATTGCCCATTGGCACTCTGCTCGATGATGCCTGGAAAGCAAAAGTTTGCATACTTTAATCACTTCCATTTATTTAAACTAATTTACTCTACATATAAAAATCAACTAGGATAGGCAAATATTCGCAAGTAACATTCAGCACAAATTCACTTTAAAAGAGACCTATAAATAGCTTCTAAAGTCTATATCAAAACAACATTTCCTGGAAGGCAGGATCAATTAGGGTTTGCACTTCTACAAGCAATACCAACAATTCATTTCCAGCCACATTCCAGCAATCATCCTGGCAATTATAAGGCAGTGAGAATAAATGGCTTAATTCTTCCTCAACTGCAGCAACACAAACTGTTATTCTCTTTGGTAAGAGTATAAATAATCACTCTGATGACTTGCTAATCACAAAAAGTGGTCCGTCAAGGCAAGAGTTCTGCTTTCACACACCTAACCACCTGCACACAGAGAACGTGAGAATTTTTTTGTAGCTCAGTAGGATTGAATTATTGTAAAATGATAAAAAGGAATCTTTTGCTCCTTTATACTCTAAAAAGGTATGACAACTTATCTTCATTGCCAGAGTTAGTTCAAGTTAGTTTGAGTTATTCCAATAGAGCTAGTTAGCTAGAGTGAGGGCTCTTCTACATTGGACATTAGTGTGCAGCAAGCCAGGGTGAGTGCCTAAAGAACACTAGCTTGCCGTACAGTAATGTCCCCTGAGGACACTGTTTCAGTGCACTGGTTTAGGCTATGTCTACACTACAACCCTTTTAGCGACACAGCTGTGCCACTACAGCTGAACCACTAAAAGGCGCACAGTGTAGCCGCTATTTGTCGGCAGGAGAGAGCTCTCCCGCTGACAAAAAAACTTCCACCCCCAACAAGCGGCAGTAGCTTTGTCGGCGGGAGAGCTCTCCCACCAACAAAGCACTGTTCACACCGATGCTTTTCGTCGGCAAAACTTTTGTCATTCGGGCAGGGGTGTTTTTTTCACATCTCTGAATGACAGAAGTTTTGTCATTCAGTGTCCATTGTAGACAAAGCTTTAGTGTAAGCCTTCTGGATTCACACCCTGGGTTGCTGTACACTAAATTCAGTGTAGACAAGTTCTGAGAAGAAAGAGAAAGAGAAAGCAACCATTCAGTGACCTCATTAGCAGATAGAATAACTAGGGTAGCAGTCTGAATTGTAACCTGAGCTGCTGCATGCCGCCTGCACTACTAGCTGAAGCATCAGCAGACCTGAAGTTTCAAAACACTCCATGAGTAAACAGCTTTAAGTCCCATGCTGGTCTAGGGTCGCGTATTTCCCAGTACATATTCCATATGCCCTTGAAGAAGCATTTCATCATCAGGAGCATGAATATTGATACGCCATCCATCTTACGGTGAAAGGTGATAGCAGCTAATAAGTATACTACAGCAAAGCTTGTCGAAAACCCTGAATTCTTTAGTTCTAATATGTATTCCAAGACCAAACGGAAGTGGTGCTGTGAGTGCAAATACATGTTTGTTCTGGCACCATAAGGAGAACCTTTTCCATTTTTGGAGGTAAGTGGTATGTGTGGTTGGTTTTCTGCTGTTTACTAACATCTGTTTTACTTGTTCCAAGCAGGTTAACTAGTCATGGTGGAGCCACACCTTCAGGTGAAGTTTCTCCAGGTTTGGGTGGAGGACTTGACCACCTCCTTGTGAGAGATGGTCCAGTTGGGGGGAGAGAGAGAGAGCGAGCGCGAGTACATGATGCACATGGCGATCTGCGCACCAGGTATGGGTATCAGGTCTGCCTGGGCTATGTCGGAACTATAAATATGACCTTGGTTTTGACAGTCCGTATCTTGCGTATTACTCTGGAGATTAGTGGTACAGGTGGGAATAAGTACAGGAGAGGTGCCTCCCACCTGATTAGAAAGGTGTCCCCTAGGGATTGTGTTCCCAGTCCTGCTCGTAAGCAAAATTGCGGATATTTGTTGTTTCATGGTGTCGCAAATAGGTCAATGTAGGGGAACCCCCACTGTTGGAATATGTGTTGTAAGACACTGGTGTTCTGTGCCCACTCGAGATCTTGGGGAAAGTGTCTGCTTAGTGAGTCTGACCATGTTCTGGCGGCCCAGGAGGTAGGAAGCAGTAATGGTGATGTTGTGAGTTATGCACCCATTCCATAATTTTATGGCTTCTGGGCATATGGTATGAGAAGGGGCTCCTCCCTGTCAATTTATGTAGAACATACATGCAATGTTGTCTGTCATGACTCTTGCTGTTTTGTTCTTTATCACTGGGAGGAAGAGAACGCACGTGTTGCAAACCACGCGCAGGTTTGAAAAGGTTGTTGTGTTGCACACATTCACTGGTCTTGTCCACCAATGTAATGAACGCTGGACTTTTGGTGTCAATGTTAGGCTTTTGTTTAGACTGTGCTTGTTTGATATGTATACTGAGCTTATCCATCCCTGTAGGCAACGCATGTGTAGTCGAGTGTGCTTTACTATGAAAGTGGTGGCCACTATGTGACCCAATAGTTGCAGGCAGGTAAGTGCTGAGACCTTTGGGCTGTTTGACCACTCTCCTAGCTGTGGTCACAATGTTAAGAATCTGTTCCTTGGTAGTGATGCTCTGGCCGCTATAGAGTCCAAATGCGCCCTGATGAAATCCAATTGTTGTATTGGAATTAGAGTTGATTTTTGTTCATTTATTTGTAGCCCTAGGGTCTGAAAGCGGGTGATAGTCCTCTGGGTAATGTCTCTCGTTTCTGATTGGGTAGGACCTTTCGGTAGGCAATTGTCTGGATATGGGAATATCATTATTCCTTGTCTGTGCAAATGTGTCGCTACTACCGCTAGGGTTTGGAGAAGACTCTCTGAGCAGTCAAAAATCCAAATGGCAACCCACTGTATTGAAAGTGATCTTTTCCTACTGTGAACCATAGGAACTTCTGTGTGCAGGATTTATGGTAATGTGAAACTATGCATCCTGTAGGTTGAGGGCTGAAAACCAGTCCCCCTTTTCCATTGCTGGGATTATTTAAATCAGTGTGACTATCTTGAATATTTGGATTTGGTACAAACTTGTTGAGTTTTCGGAGATCTAATATGGGTCTCCATCCACTGTTTTTCTTTTGGGAGTCTTCACCAGTGTTATCGGTGCCATTTAAGAGGAGTTTGGCTTGTGTTTGCCTCTTGACTCCTTAACCTTGCCAGCAGCAGCCCCAGTGCAGGCGGTGCCGGAAGTTCCCAGTGCATCAAAGGTGCTCACTCTTGGCATGGCCTGCACCAACAATAGCAACCTTGCAGGACACCGTTTTCTTTTCAACGGTTCTCTCTGCGGGGACAACGTGGCTCTTTTACTCACTTTCTTGAAGGAATCATACTTGTTTCCAAAAATGACATGCTGGGAAGAGTTCCCAGTTGAGGGGTTCTGCTGTCCAGAGTCAGAAGCTGGATGAAGGGATTTCTCCATGAGAATAAGTTTCAGGAGGAGATCGCTATCCCATGTGGCTCAAGCTTTGAAGTTGCTGAAGTGAGTACTCTTTTGCGGTGTGCGCAATTGACCTAAGCTTTGGATATAGGGTGAGTGGCCATCAGAAAACGGCACTGGGTCCTTGCACGAGAAACATCTTTTGAAGCCTGGTGAACCAGGCATGTTTTTAATGTCCCTCGCGGAGGTCGTTTTTAAAACAGAATAAATGAAAGGTGGAGTTTTTTTTGAAGGGAGAACAAAAAAAAGATGTGCAAATGTCTAAACTTGTAACCAAGACCTAACTATCACTAATTATTTTTCCTAGGTTGTCATTCAACACCACTATGGAGCTCCGTCTCAGGCCGAGGACAGCTGAGAAGCAACTGAGGGGTCGGGTCACACATGCAATGGTCAAAGTGCCAACGGCGCCATGAGATGACTACTATACATGTGCAGCACTGATGGACACTGCTACTGAAAATCTCTGATCAATGGTACTGGGACGCACCAACACCTGAAGTGGAGCACCCACAGGGACAGCACTCAAAGAAGAATTGGTAGCGGCATCGGTTCACAATAAAGCTGAGAAATCTTCTGTGGCCACAGAAGATACAAATGTGAAAGTGGTATGCCACCCTTGATTTAAAGGACTCCTAATGTCCACGAAGGGAATGATGGAAGCTAGGGAGACCATGCAGAACCTCAGTTTCTTGAGATATCTGTTGAAGCAACGCAGGTCCAGAATGGGCTGAAGGTCCCCCTTGGTCTTTGGGATTAGGAAATATCGGGAGTAAAACACCTTCCCTCTCAAGTCTTGAGGAACCTCGTCCACAGTCCCCATCTGTAGGAGGGACTGCACCTCCTGGGTGGGGAGTTGTTCATGAGAAGGGTCCCTGAAGAGGGACCAGGATGGGAGGAAGGGGTAGATGAAAACTGAAGGGCACCGTTGATTGTCACGGTACTTAGCATCCAGTGGTCTGGTGTTATGCAGAATCCCAGAGCTGAAGTGGGACAGACAGTCCGAAAATAAAAGTGGAGACAGGAACTGGTATAGTATCCCCAGGCATACCTTCAAAACGCCTGCTTGGGCCCACCAAAATACCTATGTGACCTTGGTTGGAAAGATGAGATGGAGGGAAGTGGCTGACAGTACTTGTAACCTTTCCCTTTCCTTTTAGGACTCCTGTCACAGAAGGGGAGACCAGTACCTTCTCTACTTCCATTCGGTGCCAGAGGGTCAGGGGACTGGCGGCAGACCAGAGATGGTTGCAATGATGGTGTCAGGGTTGGCTTGCCCCTAGAACAGTGGTTTTCAAACTTTTTTCCTGGCGACCCAGTTGAAGAAAATTGTTGATGCCCGCAACCCAACGGAGCTGGGGATGAGGGGTTTGGGATGTGAGAGGGGCTCAGGGCTGGGGCAGAGGGTTGAGATGTAGGGGTGAGGGCTGCAGGGTGGGGCTGGGAATGAGGGGTTCAGGATGTGGGAGGGGGCTCTGGGCTGGAGGGTGGAGGCTCTGGGGTAGGGCCGGGGATGAGGCATTTTTTGTCCTTTAAAACTTTAACCATTTAAGGTTTAAATATA